GGGATCCCTCAAATAAGCTTATTTGAGGGACAGCCCTTGTAGGGCCCACTTCGGATTGTATTTCACTAATTCAAACTGTCTATTTTGTAGATATACATTTAAAAATCATCTCTACAAAAAAATCACTTGAATCTGATATCATTTGACCATTCAATTGAGTTATTGAAATTTTAGCACTTTCTTGAAGCACCGTGTTCATTGATTTTGTAGGACACAATTGGATGTCGAAACGGTTTCCGATTTGTCTAATTTTTTGTAAGAATGATCTATAAATGAAGACCTAAAAAATAAATGGTTTGGATTATTGGAAAAAAATTTGTAAAGTACCCTAAAGGGCATCCCTCAATAGAAGATGACTATATATAATTAAAATTTGTTTAACTTTTTCCCTTCTTTTTTGGTTAAAGTCAGAAATGTGACAGATATTAGGAGAGCTTGAATCCAAGACCACTTTAGAGCACACCAAAAGCCGAAGTCAACACACCTCATTGGTGTTTAATTTTTTCACTAGCCAATTCATTACACCCAAAATCTCAAGATCCCTGATATTGTTGTAAATCAATATGATTATTATGGATGCCCACCATATCTCTTTTACCCATAATTCCTATTGCTATATTTGTACCCCATGATGTGATTGTAACCTACCTTATGACTCACCAATGATGTATATGACCACTCTGCCTAATATGTGACTCGCCAATGATATATATGACCACTTATGGTAATAAACTATGTATTTTTTATGCCTATAAATAGACACCAAGATGAATGAAAAACACACAAGAATAGAAGAGAAGAAGCTTAAAGTTGAGCTCTTGATAATTATTGTTTCTCTTCCTTTAAATTCTCTCCATAATTTCCTGTTTTATAACAGATATAATAATGTGTAATGACCAAGGGGACTATTATTATTTGAGTCTGAAAAATATAATATAGGATTCAAATCACGTGGATAAAAAATTTATTTCGTCCTTAATTATATTTGAACCCAGCAAACAACCAAATTCACATCACAAATTTCATGGTCGCATCCCAAAAATTATTCCCAATAGCAGTAGTTTTCATCATATAACATATTATTATATTATTATTATTATTATATGATATATCCCAACATCTCTAGGGCTCCTCACGAACGTCCTTAGGAGTCAGGTGGATCTATCTACATTCTTCCCTGCATTTCTTCCAACTGATATGTTAGAAGAACTCCCCGCAGCACCCTCAGCCACAGCAGGAACTACATCATCAGACTCATCATCCTAGATAACAATTGGAAAAAGGCAACACAATCAGTCAGCAAATTCAGAAGTAGGGATTTATATAAAAGAGAAGCGAGACGAGCAAGTGCTTAAAAGCAGTTATCCCTGCACCTTAGGTCATCCCATTCCCCCCAATATCTCTTGTTAAAGAAAATAAAATAAAAACCTCATTTCTGCCATGATGTTATTTTAAATAAAAAGGGGTAAGTCCACTTACTCCTGTATCAGAAACTACTTGATTTTGATGAGTAGAACCAGTGGAGCTGAAATAAGATGAAGAAAATGATGTCAGTCTTATATGTATAATGTAACCTAACCTGAACAAACTAAATGTTTATTTGGTTATTTTTATTTGACAGTAAACTTTTCAGAATAACCTCCTTCACCTTCTTCTTATTCTTATGTACATAATCTTTTTTTTATTCTCTCATCCAAACAACCACACCTTATTATCGTGCCGATACCATTATAAACAGGGAGGAAATGAGGGAGGGATAATAGAAAATACATAGTGTCTGCATGGTAATAATGTCCAGATATATATATACACAAAGTCAATTTATTGACTTTGAAATGAGATGAGGTTTACCTGGATGGTTTCGAGAAGTTACTTCTTTCTTCAATAGATATAGCCATAGCTAGCAGCATTTCAAAATCATCCTCAGAATATTCACCCTCTAATTAAAAAGTAGTACATTTGGCAAATATTAATTTTTTGAAGTACTAAAAAAGCAATTAACTAAAAATCCTTGTTATCAGTAGAGGGATATTTTGTTTTAGGGTATAAAGGGATATTAGCCAGCCTCACCGTTTACAATATCTTTGCCTTTTCTTTGTGAATCTAACAGAGAAAGTTGAGCGGCAAACTCCATATCAATTTGTTCTTGCGACAATGGAGCCTGTATTTGGAAGGATAAATAAATAAACTCGAAATTTAAACGAAACTCGGAATTTCCGAAATAGATCAAATGACAAGAAGAAAATGGGGAAAAAGGATTACCATTCTCTAAGACAAACAAAATACTTCGGCTCAGCCAATCCGTAAATGAAAAATCTTGCTACGATTTGAGTCTTACCTCTTTGTATTGAACAAATCGAACACTTGCCCAAGGCATATATATAGGTTTGATCACGGGAAGGAAGCATGTTGGATTGTATTCATGGAGAGTTAAAGAGACCAGAGAGAGCAAATCTTTATTCTATGCTCAAAATCTGTTTGCATGCTCATTATTTAAACACTAGTTATTTGTAAATTTGAATTTTTTTCCTTTTTTTTAGTTATAAATGGGAATGAAAATCAACTAATTGTTGTGATTGTGAAGGTAAAAATATATATGAGATCTCTTGCAAAACTTATTCATATAGGATGCAAATAAAAATCCAAATTCATTCATTTCTCATGATTAGAAGAAATTAACCAATGATATGTAAACTAACATACAAAAATACAAAGTAGCTAGCGGAACTAAAACAGCTAATTGAAGTTAAACTCTATTTATGTTATTTTCTTGTGAGATCCATATGTTCAATAGGCATCTCTCAATTAATGGGACTCCAGCCATGCTCTCGTATGCAATTGCAATGAAGCACATATGAGTAAGGCATGTTCCTAGTTTTTTGTAAAGCTGATTCATGAATGAACAGACTTGAAAATTAGACGGTTTGGGTCGTTAAAGTAAAATTCACAGTGGACGTCACAATGTGTCCATAAAATTAGATTATTTGAGCATTCCCTCAATAGAAAAGAATTATGTACATAATCAGGCCATTGCATGGAGCCTATGTGAAACTCTTCTCTTAGGAATATGCTCATAATCAAAAGAATAAATATTATGCACCGCATATAGAAACAAGTTGAAATGACATCGAAACTTATTTACAAGATACTTAAAATTGTCCAGAAAATTATTTATTCTCATTCTCATGATCAGAAGAAATCAACCAATTAGGACATTCATCAACCACAACTTTTCCTTGTGATCCATGTTCAATAGGTAGCTTGAAGCGGCAAACGGGGCAATTGTGTTGATTCTCTCTAATCCATCCTCCTATGCATTTCTCATGAAACGGATGCGAGCAAGGCATGCAAGTGACCTCATCCCATCCCGCAATAAACTCTTCCATGCAAATAGGGCAAAGCTCATTTTCACGCACAACACGGCGTCGTTTTCTTTCTCGACCCTCCTCCTCCTCCTCCTCCTCCTCATCATCATCATGATGTTGTTCATCATCAGCCACCACTCTTGTCCTCTTTAGCATCTTCTTGAGCAATGCATCCCTCGCGAGCACTGTTTTATCCGAACATATATCACACAGCTCCAAGATATGGGTTATATTCATGTCAACCCTCAAACGCAGTATTTTGGGCCCCTTTTTTGAATCCGACTTGCCAATTTCACGACCGCCCTTTATAATATCCTCCACGACTGAATCGTGCCACTCGTCGTCCTCGATTTTCAGTTGGTACAGTTGCTCGGAGAGAAAAAGCTTGACGACGTCGAGTTCAGTGTCTAACGAGCGCACATCATCAATTGTATGTGTTGCTGTTATGGGGGGCTCTTCATGCTGGCAGATAGCAATGCTTTGGGTTTCGTCTTCTTCGGAGAGGTTGACGTAGTACTTGTTGTATACGAAGCGGGTGAAGTTGATTTCAAGTTTAGCCCTATCATGTGGAGATGAAGATTTCTCATTTTGATGATCATGATCATGATCAGGGTGGTCTACTAATTGTGTGGTGATTAGGGGCTTGACATCACAGAAGAATCCTTGATCGCTCTCGTGATAGATTTCCATTCACGAGTATATATTGAAGCATAGAGAACCAAGAGTAGTGGCATGATTATATATATATATATATATATATATACATATAGGTTTTAAATCCATGTAAAATGTGGAAACTGACTTCTTCTCGAAACAGTGTTTTCCTTTTGTTAAACGGAGTTTGAATTCTTTCAAGTCAAGGACTGGGAAATTGTTGCTTTTCTTTTCTTGTTTGAACGGGAAAACCAAAAGTCCAAAACATATGAAACCCTCATGTAGCTGAATCGTTGAAAGAAGGGGAAAAAAAAACAGATATTACACAAAGGCAGAGGCCACAAACAGAGCGCCACCTGTAATCCCACAAACTAAGCTGGCCAGCAACAACACGTCCCTCAAGTGATCTCTACCCCCGCCGCCACGTGCCCCGACGAACAACGACTTCAGTTCCGTCAGCGACGTCTCGCTCGCACAGGAGACCGTGATCCGACGGCCACAGCTTTCGACCCTCCGATTCCATCGCCACCGCCATAAAAAACACCACGATCGCCACGCCGATTTCCATGGGAATCGCCATTCTATCCCTCTCTCTGCCTCTGTCTTCGTCTCTGTCTCTAGAGAGTTGAGGTATGCGCGCCAAACACTCTACACTCAACAGCAGCTCCTAATTTAGATCCAAAGTTAGACGAGATATTAAACCAATTTTATAAGTTGAAAATAGACGACTCAGGTAACAAAGTAGTTAAGAAATTTCCAGGCAAACTTAGATTTCCTAGAATAGAATAAGCATGTTAGGAAGAGGACGAACAACAGGAAGAGAAAGACCTTGGATAGACGCTGATGGAAACATCGGAGAAAGAGGAGGAGCTTCCAGCTCAAATAACTCTACAAGTTTTGTTAATAGACTTTTTAGTAGGCCCCAACAAACAGAACTTCAATTAGATGAATTAATAGACTTTTGCCCAGAATGGTTTAAGAGCAGTAAATCCAACAACTTTATATGATAAAGCTTTCCAGCTAAGTAATAGAACTACTTTCTTTAGCACCCGGACTTGAAAAACGAATCTTTCCTTTCTTTAATTTTCTTTCAAGTCCGTAGTAGCGTCAAGACTTGGGCTATATATACAAACTTCTAAGAGTCAGTTTGCAGCAATCGAGAATTCTGGGAGCACTCACAACCTCCAGCACTTCGTATAAACACTTTCAGGATATCCCGAAAGAGAAAACCCTTCCCCCTTTTGATTCGGTATGTCTTAATATATAATTTGTAGATAGTTTATTAGAATTGCGGTTTTTCAATATATAATTTGTAGACAAGTGTTAGAAGGAAATTTAGATCTAAGTTGGTGTATTATTAGAAATCTTAGGTAGAAATACGCTAAGATAAAGAAATACGCTAAGGTAAATCTGACAGAGACCTCTAGTAAAGACAACATAGCTATGGAAAAAGAGCGCAAATTTTTAGAATATCTTTGTTTAGAACTTTCTAATCCCCAGAGACAAGTTAGAAAATCCATAGCAAACAAGTTTTCCATTCAGTGTAATTTTCCTAGCGATTTAACGGCGCACACTCTTCATACTGCAGAAGGTAGTGAGACTAATAGACAGTTAAACGCTGTTATAGATTTGTTAATTAATCTTGGTTATAAGATAGAGCAAAAACAAGGTCAATTAATAGAAAAATTTGAGACAATAGAAAAATCTTATTCTGACAGAATTTCTAAATTAGAAAAACAAGTCAATAGATTAGCTACCAATCTAGATTTAGAATATCTTTGTGAGAATTGTGAGAAGACCAGACGCATTGAGAGAGAGACAGATCAGGGAGAAGCTTTAGAGAGAAGAAACCTTCCGAGACAAAATGCCTTTCTTGAGCGACAGCTGTCAGACCAGAAAAATAAGATTCTTTTCTTAGAAGAACAAAATAGACAAACTCAGCTTCAATTACACCTTGCACAGACTCAAGCAAGGTTTATTCCACTTCCGCATCGAAGTGGTCAGATGGGTGGTGACTTTCCGGTAAGTTTCAATAGGGTCAGTGAAACGGCCAAAACAGTTTCACCTGGCCCGTCTCAAACGGTGGACGGTAAAGGCTCATCAAATCCGTTGATGGCTGAGGCTTTGCCCAAAAGCCTACAACAGGTACAGATTAGTTCAAAGACGGACGAGGGCAAAAACGTTGCCCTCTCGCTAGATCAGACTGCCCAACTTCTGGCTCAGAACTACTATTCACCCCCTTGCCTGCAGTCAACCAGTCAGCAGTTAGAAGATCTAATTTCATTTCAGACAGCTCAGACTTCTCCAAGAAGCAACCCGTCATCATCAAGATCGACGAAGACAAAGAAAAAGAAGACTGTAGCAAAGAAAGAGATTGAACAGACAGTAGCCAAGGTGTTTCAAGATTTTTTGAAGAACATGATGCCAGCTACACAGATGCAGGCAGACCAGAAAAAGGATATTCATCGTCAAGAAGACCAAGAAGAAACACCCACGCAAAAGGAGCTAAAACAGCTTAGAGAAGAATTGACAAGACTCCAGCAAAGACTGCAAGACGCTGAGAGAACGCCAGCCTTCAGCAGTGACGCAGACCCGAAGCCGCTAGACGACGAAGGCAATAATACGGACGTATCGTTTGACGGGTCGTTTTGTACGGCTGATTGTCATGAACTTGACTAAATTAGACATATGAGTTCGGATTTTTTTTTAACTGTTGGACTATAGAATCTCATTTAAGTTAATCCTCTCTCTTAATCCTCTCTCTTGCCAAACATGAATTTTCAAATGTTATTTAACACAGTTTAGTGAGTCACAATTACCAAACACAGTATTGCTCGGTATCATTTTGTCGTGTTGTGTTTAGAGTCCTTTTTTTTGGTATGAACCACGAGGTGGTCTTGAATGGGCCCCAACTATGGGTGGCATCTTTAAGCCTTAACCATAATTCAGACTAATCTCTGCTCACACCAGGTCGGTCCATAAAAGGTAAAGTGCTGATCAAAGTGGTGACTTCATATGAGAGCAGGGGTTAAGAAATGAGAGGGTCGAACCACTTACACCAACCACCTTGGTTATTGTGTTTAGAGTCTTTAGTAAAGTAAATTATTCTCTACTAGTCACTATCCGACTTTAATCAATGGGAAAAAACTGTGGTGGGAAAATAATGCGTGTGTGAACACTTGTTTTTTTTTTCTAATTTTTTAAGAAAATAATCTCTTTTTTGAAGTTGTCGATGGGGCCCAATGAGCACCCGAACTTGAAAAACGAATCTTTCTTTTCTTTAATTGTATTTGAAGTCCGTAGTAGCATCAAGAATTGGGCTATATATCATCGTAGGATATACGATGATAAACTATTCCTAAAGAACTTCAGGAGACCACGATCCGACAGCCTCAGATCTCGACCATCCGATTCCATCGCCACGGCCATAAAAAACACAGCGATCGCTACGCCGATTTCCATGGGAAGCGCCATTCTATCTCTCTCTCTCTCTCTGCCTATGTTTTCGTCTCTGGCTCTAGAGAGTTGAGGTCTGAACACGACGTTGTTTTGTAAGCCAAACACTCTACACTTTGTGTATGTGTGTGTGTGTGTCTCTCTCTCTCTCTCTCTCTAATGAGATAGAACAAAGCAATCGTTTTGATTTGATTTTATTCATTCATTCATTCAGTTGGAGTGGGGATCCAACTCCGATTGCGTTCAAACAAAGCAAACGGGTCCACTCCAAGAAACAATTGGACATTGTCGTACTATGGAATCAAAGAGGAAGGGAAGGAGGGGCGTGACGCTTCTTCCTCCTACCCTTCCTTTGGGACTCACACAGGAATAAAGGGCTAGGGTTTTATGCAAAGGATTATCCAAACGATTTATAGTAAACTATGTGGAGGGGATTCAAACTCGGGTGCTGAATAGGTTCTCAATTTCTGAAATTGTTAAGTTTGTGTATCTTCTTCTTTTTTAGTTCTTCAAGGAACCTATTAGCTACACTACTGAATCTATCTCTTCAGCCGGTCATTAAGGACTACGTAATCAAATACTAAATCGAAAGATGAAATAAATAGAAAATTTAATTCATTAAAACAACTCATTACAGAAAATTAATAAAACTACAATTTTTCATCGTGATCCATTCAACAGCAGGCATCTCAAAGTGACAAACAGGGCAATTAGGTTTATCCTCATGTAGCCATACTCTTATGCATGTTTCATGAAACACGTGTGAGCAAGGCATGCAAGTAACATCTTCTGATCCCACAACAAACTCTTCCATACAGATAGTGCAAACCTCACTTTCTTGCACTACACATCTTCTTTTTCTTTCTCGACCCTCCCTCTTATCACCATCACATTCTTTTCCATTATCATCAGCCACCACCTTAACCCTCTTCATCATCTTCCTGATAAAAAACTCCTTTGTGCACCTCTCACAAGATACGGTCTCTTCTCATAACAACCCTCAAGCCTAGCATTCTATTGGAACCCTTTTTTGAACTTGAGTTGCCAATTATATTGCTCACGGCGTCTATAATCTCTTCCACTATTGCATATGCCCAACCCTCTTCTATTCTAAATTCAGAATGAAGCGTGTGATAAAGAACAAATTTGACGTTGCCGTGCATAGTTTCTACACAACTCACGTTAAGTTTGCGTGACGCTTCTTTCACATTGGTATACATGAGTACTTTTGGTATTTCCGCCTTTTGAGACATCGATCACGTAGTATTTGTTGCGCACAAATAATGCAAAGTCGATATGGATTAATAACCTTTGTGATGAAATTGAAGATTTATCATCATGATCACGATGATCAGGCTGGTAGTCTAGCACAAGGGGCTGGACGCCATATTTGGGGGTCGTTTGGTATACAGGCTTGGCTTGGTCTAGCTTGACTAAATTTAATATCATGTTTGTTTCATTTAATTCTAATTTTAGATGGGATTTCTAATACTGGGCCCACCAAAAGCACCTCCTTATGAGGGGACTACCAAGCCCATGTAGAAATGGAGGATTAACTAATCCTATGTTCACTAATGTATAAGATGTATATATTATATTGTAATACTAATAACATATATTACTACTACTACTACTACTACTAATAATAATAATAATAATAATAATAACAATAATAATAATAAACATATACTATAATGTACATATATACATATATACACTTATATGTGTATATATAAACACATATATACATATAATTTATACTATATGTATATATATATTATAATATACATATATATATATATATATATGTGTGTGTGTGTGTATATGTATTATTCCCATGTATATATTATAATATATAGATACACCTATATACACATATTATATACGTGTATATATGTATATTATATATGTATAATGTAATAGCCCGGTCCTAAATAAATTTTTAATTACTCATTTATTTAGGTAAAAGACTATTTTGCCCCTGGAATATTTTATTAGTATAAAAGTCGACTTTTGATTCGGGAAGGAATTTGGGAATTTCAGTTGTACCATTGCGTAGAGCGCGATAAAACGAGTTCGTAAACACGTAGTGGGCTCAAATTCGAGTTGTATCGAGAAAGATATGATTAAAATACATTGAAGGGCAAAAAGGTAATTTTGGAAACCATTTTTATTTAAAACCCTCTCTCTCTCTCTCTCTTGTTGGCATCAGACCCCCCCCTTGCGCTGTTCGTACTCATCCGACCCCCTATTTGGGTCGCAACCGCCGAGATGGTGGAAGTTGATCACGTGGTGGTGGAAAGTTCAGCCTTTTTTCAATCGGATGATGGTGGTGGTGGTTTGGTTTTTTTTAAAACTTATTTTTAATTATCAAAATAATGTTTTGATGATACAATTATAATTTTTAAATTAGTTCTTTTTTTCTCAACCTTTAGATCTAATCTGAGGGTAGTTGACCACAGTTTCCTTGGACTACAGGTCCAAGAGAACGGGACTGATATATACATATATATTATGTATGTATATATATATATATTATAAAATATATATACATATATATAGATATTTTTGAAAAAATAAAAAAATCTAGTCTTAGTCCAAGCATACACCAAATGCAGGATAAGTGTTATCCAACTTAGACCAAGCCAAGCCAAGCCAAGCCAAGACAGTCCCTAAGCATAGTCCATGCCAAGACAGTCCTGTATAACAAATAAGCCCTTGAAGTCCTCATTGATGCAGTGATATGCATGCATTATGATGTCAAAACTCAAAAGAGAGAAGTTTTAAGTCCAAGATAGATCCAATAGTAGTGACATTAAACTAGTATTTATAGAGGGTTTTAAATCCGTGTGGAGTAGGAAAAAGTTGGAAATCAACTTCTTCTCCTTGTTTTAGTCAAAAGAGTCTAATTTCTTGCAAGTCAAGTTTCGAAAATATTTTTCTCCGTTTTCCTTTAGGATTTCATTTCTGCTTTTCATTTTGTTTTTCGTTACACAAAAAAAAATAAATAAATAAATAAAGGCAGAAAGAAGAGAGGATTCAAACTCTAATCACGATTACAAGAAATCAGCCAATGATTCACACAAAAAATTAATATACAAATATATAATTATAAGCAGCAGAGACAGCCATCTCCTTCCTCCACGTCAGCATATATCGAATTTTAATATTTTAAGGTTGTTTTTTAAGAAATAATTAATTATAGTCTTCCTATGTTACCCTTGTAATCAATTACACGGCTCTCTCTCTCTCTCTCTCTCTCTCTCTCTCGTGATTTTGATATATGAAATATTGCTGGGTTTGCTTATATTTGTCGGTTTGATATGGTGATGGGTTTTAAGGTTAGAATCGCGGTGGTGATTCTTTCCAAGGCCAAGCCATCAGTTTTAGGTGTAGTCTCTTTGGTATATTTCTAACTAATAATTAGGTACTATGATGAGGTGTTTTTAGTTAGGTACTATAATTTATATTCGATTAGGCGCTATGATTGAGGTATATTATCTATATAAATATATATATATATATAAAGAAAAAGGCAGTGAAACATTAAAAATATCAGAAAATGTCATTGGTTAATTCAAATATTAAGAATTGAAATTATTAATTAAATGAAGATAATATGATAAATTCACATTTTTTCATATTAAACAAATTTAAATTAAAAAAAATAGATAATATGTCATACTTTTATGGAACATAACTACCCATATTATTTTTTCTCAATTTAAAAAAAAAACTCATGTGCCAAGGGGCTAGTACTTATTTATATTCGTTTTTGTAATTGAGATCTTCGTTTTCCATTAGCTGCATTCGATTAGGCACTTGGATTAAAGTATATTTATATTTATTTAGCCACCTTCCATTAGATACTGTGGGTATCTCGATTGCTTTCTGTTTTGGTGTATTCTCCTTTTTAGATGAAATTATCTTGCATCATTAGAAGTCGCACATAATCAACCCAAAATATGTCCCTAAACAAAAATGTGGAACATACCTAAAATATCAAGTTTTAAAACTAATAATGAGTATTTTAGCAGATGTGGGTTAGGCTAGTTGGTCATGACATTATGCCCGTTCCTCTACATTCGAGTTTGATCTCCCTCCCCGTACATTAAAATAATTTAGAATAACACTTTATAAGAAAAGCAAAAGAGTATTTTGGGGGAAAAAAAAAACGGAGAAAAACATTTAAAAACCAAAATAGACCTTATTCAACTTGGAAGGAAAAAAGAAGAAGTGTGCTGGTAAAAGTTCCATGGCCAACTAAACCCACCTAAAAGTTTGGTAAGCTATTTAGGCCTATCGGAAGTTCGATAGGGTTAAAGCACTAAACTCTCTCCT